GGGTCTGAGGCCCACCAAGTTTCAGTGAGTTGCCGTGAGCTGCTCAGTGCTTGCTCTCTGTCCACCTACGCCTCAGAATAACTGAGTTATCTTGACAGCCAAAAACACCACTCTCAAAATGGCCTGGTAGATTAAGGAGGTCCAGTTATGGAGATGTCTATTGACCTTTTCTTAAATTCTGTGAGGGAAATAGTAAAACATGAATACCTGGTCATTTGGTTAACATCCATACAATTTTACATGATTTTCTCATTGTTCTATTTGACATTGGAATGTATAATCTGAATCTGCTTTACTTTTTAACTTACTTGGTAATGAGGTATAGTTTTCCACATGAAAGTTAATAATTATATTATCTAAAACAAAAATGTAAATTAAGAAATCTTGTGTACTACATGAATTATAAATACTATCAAAGGGCAACAGAATAATAGTGAATAGAAAGGTAATTTGAAAATGAAGCCTGTTTCATCTGTAAAACTAAAATAAAATCAGAGTCAGTTGTTTATATAACATTAAAAATAATCAAATAATATTTTAGGGAAAGCTCAACCATTTAGAGAGTGGATCAGCTTATATGTGGCTCACTTGATATCTTCTTAAACAAGGTGGTCATCTGTAGCCTGGATGAACTGTTTAAGAAGGAGAATGTTTGACAAAAGAACCTACACAATTTTTCATAACTCAATTCCTTACTGATGAGATTTCAAATAACAGGATTGGTTTGGGGCTACCTGATTAAGAGTCTAGAATATGTCTGTCAGATTTGTCCTTGATGCTCAAATTAAGGTGAGATCTCAAAAAATAGAATTAAATTAAAGTAGTTTTAAAAGCAGAAAATAAAAATCCTACATAGAAAAGTATAATGCCTATTGTAACGTGAATATAGTATTGGACTCAGCACAAGGAATGAAGGAAAAAATGAGGAAAAAATCTGTTACAAGCTGAATATGAATCAGTAATTCACTGCTATTGTTTAAAAAATCATCTGCATCATGATGACTGTGGTTTATATTATTTCTATGTTTGTGAATGACTAAGGTACTTTAAAAACTAAAAGGTAAATTAAAGAATGCTAAAAAATAATCCAAATGATAGAAAATGAAGGAAAAGAAGGCCATATATGAGCACAGGTTTAGCAAATTAAAAAAGATGAGCTGAAAAATGACTTGTATAGACACTTTCAAGAATAGGAAAAGATTTTTAAATGAGGGGGATGTTGATCATTTCCTCTTTATATTGAGATGGAAGAAAAATGGGCTCGATGAAAGCAAAAAGACATTTTGGTGGACTATCAGAGTGATAAATATTATGAGAGACAAAGAGAATAGTAAAATTACCATCCTGGAAAGATTCACTAAGATAATGAATGGTCATTTTTCTTTAAGATTTAAGATACTGGCTTGCTTGAAAAACACTTAATAGCTGAATTGAATTGTCTGCCAGCTTTGTGACTCTAATTTGAAGTTTGCCAAAAACTCTTTAAAATATATTACAAATTTTAATTTAAAATAAACAGAAGAGCTATATAACATTAGTATCTATGAGACGCCTATTGAGATGCATTAGAAAAAATTATTTTTATAATAATTTATTAATTGGCTCAAAATTTTATTTTATTGCATTTATCTGGAGATATTTATCTTTCCCTGAACCATTCATTCATCTTGCCTTGGATCTATTTATTTAAGAACAGAGAGGATGCCTTGGGGACTGTTGCAGAATAATGGGCAGATGGACTGACTTCTTGCTTATTAGTAAGCGGGGATGATTTGACTCTAAACTTCTTCCTAAGGGATAGAGCCACTTAAAATGAGGTTTACTCAATCATGGAAGTATAATTAAAGTAAAGATATTATTTCATCTCCCTCCCTCCCACCCCATTTCTATTTTTTTGGTGTTCTTGTTTGACTTGATGATTTAGTGTTATCACTGATGAAACCTTAAGTAGACCAGTGGTTTGTTCTTTTGTTCTTTTGTTATCAGGGTGGGACAGATGTAACTGCAGCATTCAGCAGGAGGTAGCTAGGAGAAGCTTCTCATTAAAGAAGAATTGAGAAATCCCATCTGAACACACTTTCCCCTATTATTTAGTAAATGGAGAACACATGATGAATAAAACAAATTCTTAATATCAAATACAAGAGTATGCAAAACCTGCAGTAAACTCTCTGTGTGCTTTTCTTCTTTCTTTCCGTTGTTCTCTTTTCTAAAACAAGACATTTGTATTCACTTAAGTTGATCATAGTGTGTTGTTTTGAGGTAGTCATAATTAGACGTAATTACTGTGTGTTCAAGTTATAGCTTAACTCTTCGATGAGCTCAATTGAGTACCTTAGACATAAAGAACTTCTCAAACCAAAACATCCCCTAAATCCATGAAAGGAGTGTTAATGCTATCACAAATGAATCAAAGCATTATTTTGACTCTAATTAACAATTGTACTTACTGTTCCACTCTAAGTCTGCACACACTATTTGAAAAATATATGCAACTCAAATCATAAGCCTGTTTGTTTTTTGAGGGAGAAAGAGATATCAAATGTTTTGAATTCATGTCTTCTTTTGTTGATCTGATTTCGGAATTGGTTTCTAATATAGAAAACCTGTTAGATGGCCTTGTCCCAGACCTGGGGCACAAACTGTGTGGAGAGTCAAAGAAGGGCGTGGGTTGAGTATACAGAATGTGAGGCAATGGATACTGTTTTGCCTCTGAGTCCTTTTACAGTGCGGGGTATTCTTCATTCCTACCTTCATGATTTTAACTGTTATTAGAGGGGGATTCCATGCTGAGAGTGTAAACCCTTAAATTTCCCAGTCTGGTACTGTTGGTGTTGGGACTCTGGAAATAGAGTCTCAGAAATGTTTTGTATAGTCCTTGCATCTTTCACTTAGTAATGAGTAAGGCTGTAACATGACTTCGAGATATTGCCAAAAAGCAGCTACTTCTATTATTCAAAGTCAGTGATACCAGTGAAAGAGCTAAAAATCACTTGAGAGAAAAGGAAAGTACTCTTTTACAATTAAATGACTTTAAAAAAATATATTATTCAAAGAGACAGTCACCCCGTAGTGTTTTCCTCCTAGGATAGCGCTCCTAGGCTGAGTTAGAACACTCACTGAAGTGCTTGTAGATGGATCTTTTCTGAAAATATCTGCTATGAAACTTTCAGTTGAAACATTCTTCTACCCAGGAAAGCCTAGACTTTTTCTGGAGAAATCCGATTTTGGAGTGAGTTTAAGAAGATCTCAGGTGACATTCACTGTATCGTAAAATAGCTTCCAGTATCAGGAAAAGCATGTGTGCCCATTTAGAATCACAAGCACTATTCCATTTGTCCACATTGGGCTAAGTTGGATTACACTTGAGAAAAATTAAGTGGTCTTTCCCCTGTATTTGCAAAACTACATATTACCTGGCCTTAGGAACCTAATAAATAGGGATCCAAGGAATACTATGTTGCCACCAATGTAGCATGGGATAACATCTCTATTTTGTGTTATATGAGGACAGAATGGCTGAGTGCCTACCAAACCGGGATTACAACCTCAGAAGTCAACTATAGTGTAACTTTCTTATTTTAGAAATTAAGACACTGAAATTCAGGAAAAGTGACTTGCCCATGGTTGTAATCCAATTAGTGGTGGATTAATAAAATCCCGGGAATAGGATATAAAAATGGAATATAAAAATCCCAGGAATGGGATTATTATGTCCTATTTCTCCAATAAAGCAGAACAAAAGGCTCAAGGTCTGTAATAGCATGATAGGGGAAAAGTGCTCTCTAGGGAATTAAATCTAGGAAATACTCAAAACAAAACTCCTCGCACATCAAATGCTATGTTAATGTTATTATCACATGCCTAGTTATATTTTTCGAGAAAAGAGATTTATTTCTCTTACAATAGTTACAATTTGAGAAAGAAATTTGTGTATATGTATGAATATCTAAACTTCAAGCTTGGCCAGATGGAATTTGACACTTTTATTACTGCCCATATCCAATATTATAAAGAATCCCATCCATGTTTGCAACTCTTCATGATAAAAGACAAATAGACATTTTCCATTTAACTAATTTAACTGCCCATTTGTTACTGGCACCCACATGTTGACAACCACCAGCAATCACCTGCCTTGATTCTCTCCTCCGTTGCCTCACTCCTACACCATAGATGCCTGGCTGTTTGAATTACAGGTAGAGCATTCTTAACTATCTTTAACAATGTGCCTTGGCTTGCTGGCTGAGCCTCCCTTGCCAGCCAGATCTCCAGACCCAGTGGGTAGATCTGCTCTTTTCTTGCTTGCTTCATTTTTCCGTGAGTATGTTGCCGTGCCCAGTTAGCTAGCAGAATAGAATGAGTAATTTTCTGGGAATTTCCTAAATAGTTCAAGAGGAAGAAGCTCTGACTCCCAGGAAGACCTGGGTTAAATATTGAAATAGGAAAACCTTGAAGATTATTTGAGATAGGAACCTTGATAGGAAAACCTTAAGGATGACAATTATATCAATAGGGGAAATCAAGGTAAGTTTTTACTGGGTCACAAATGTTCTTTAGATTGGCAAAAAGGAGGCATCTGCTGTTTGTTTGTATTTTTATTTAGCCTATAACTGGATGTAGTTTTTCAATTAAGCTAATAATAACTGAGTAATCTTGATTTATCTTTAATCTATTCAATTGATCAAGAAATACACACTGCCTGCTCTGTGACCAGCACTACTAGAAAGAAAATGGTGATGAGTAAAGACTGCAGCCAATATAAAGAAACCTCCTGGGAGTGGTTTTAACTTTCCTAGGTTTAAGCGAAAGTGGGAACACATTTTCAGTGAGAGGAGAGTACATTTTTATGCATGTCCTTGAGGGCAAGAATCATGTCTAAATTATCTTTGTATCTGTAAAAAGGAGAACAGAAGCTGACACTTAGCAGGTGCACAATAATGTTTGCTGAAGAAATATTGACAATCTTTCTGGTAAAATGTAGAGAATGAGCACATTACCTGATTCTTTCCCACTTAATGACGTTCTTCTCTTTTCTCCACTTCCTGGCTTATGCTGCTATAATGGGGAAATGCAGTTTGGTAACTCCACTGGAGTATGAAGTTCAATTTCCTACAGAAGAAATGTTTAAAACAACAGTTTAGACATTATTAATAGATACATTATTGTATTAATTATACTTAATTATTCATTAGGTATAATTGATATAATAATAATAATTAGATATAATTTCAAACTGTTTTGCAGGGAACAAATGCTTTTGTGGGCTATCTAGGAACTCAAGTCATATATAATATAATTTCTAGGAACAAATCTTGTGTTCAATCTTTGAGAACCTCATCCTTTTTCTAAGTTGGATTGACATCTATTTTTATTTTTTAATTGGAGTTTCTGCTACTCCAGATGTTGTGAGTATGTGGAAGATATAACAGATACCAACAGTGGCTTTCACTGAGACTAAGATGATATGTAGCAAAAGGTTTCTTTCTTTTTCTTTTTCTTTTTTTTTGGTGTATGCTACAGCTGGGTTGGGAAGCAGGAGTTCTGGATTTATTCAGATGGAAAGAAAAGACAGATGGGTATTAAGCAGTTAATGAGAACTAGCTTGTGTAATTAATATAGACAAGAGGTGGCATAGTGATCAAAAGAGAGGGAAAGTTCAACATAGTTTGCCATTTATGGAAAAAGCCTCATGGTCAGTTTGGGACTTGAGGCAGGTAGGTTTTAGGGAGATGAAAGAAAATAGAACAGGAATTTTTTAATCTGGAGATTTTTCACCAGCCCAGGAAAATAGGATTTGATGATCCTTTTTTTTGGTCTTAACCTGTTTATGCTGCTATAACAAATGCTCCTCTTAGAAGCTCTGATAACTCTTCCTTAATAAAAATTTGATCATACTGTATTTTGATTTATCTATCCCTTTTGTAGATCTTCAAGTAAAATGCTTGAAGTCAGGAATGTGTAGATCAATTTGAGCAATAGTTGGAGATATTTCAACTTTATTCTCAAGATGCTGAAGACAAAAAAGCTTTTTTTAAATGAAGAATAAAAATACAACTGTCTGGAAATAAGATTGGAGGAGGAAACATGAAGGCAGGGAGATGGCAAATCCTGTTGATTAAAATAATTAAGGTAGGAGAGAAAAAGGGGTGGAGCAATAGAGAATGAAAGGAATACCTAAGATTTATTTCCTAAGAAAACAAAATGTTTTATTTACTCTATGTAAGAAAGTGGAAAGAGGAGCGGGAAAAGTTACTAGAGGTTCAAACATAGTATATTTAAAAAATTTCTGTCCAAGTTAATGGGTAAAATGCCATAGCATTTGTACAACTGCCAAAACTGTTTTTCAGGTCTAAATAATTTACATCATTACTGTCAGCATTTCTTTGTTCTTCATTATTTTCCAACTGTATTTGTTGACCTTGAGAAAATTAGTTTCCATAGTCTCATATGTCTTCTAATGTCTGTGTTTTCTAGTGGAAAAGGAAAAGGGAATTGAAAATGAAGATAGATACATTACATTCTGTCTGATATTGAATCACTGGCCATTTAATCTCCTTAAACTCTCTTTGAGTCATTTTTTCCACTTTGAAATGTAGCTTCATAGATTCAAGGACTTTTAGTAGTTAAAAAAAAAAAAAAGTAGAAAATTATCAGGAGTTTGGATGCCACATCCAGGGCTTGAAACAAACAAAAAAGAAAATTATCTGGGAGAAAAATTAGAGAATAATCACACGTTTGAAGAAATACAGAAACTGAGACCCAAGTAAGTTATATAATTTGTTGCGAGCCATGTTGTTAGTTAATGACAGCATAGGGCTTAAAACCTGTATGTACTGACCTTCAGCCATTGCTTCTGATTGTATGCTGTAGTGATTTGGGTAAGACTACAGATAATCTTCAAAATGTGTATAATTAAACTAACTGTTTATCTTACTACACAGATATGTATGCCTGCAGGAAATTTAAAGGAAATATCATATAGTTTCCACTTAAATTTAGACTGTGACAAAGGGCAAATTCACACTTTGCACCACAACAGCAAAATAACCTACGTTTTTTGAAACTTTCTGTTGAAGAAAAGCACTGCATGTTCTCACTCATAGGTGGGTGTTGAACAATGAGAACACATAGACACAGGCAGGGGAGCATAACACACTGGGGTCTGTTGGGGGGGACTAGGGAAGGGACAGTGGGGGGTAGGGAGGTTGGGGAGGAATAACATGGGGAGAAATGTCAGCTATAGGTGACAGGGGGATGGAGGCAGCAAACCACATTGCCATGTATGTACCTATGCAACAATTCTGCATGATCTGCACATGTACCCCAGAATCTAAAGTACAGTAAAAAAAATATATATATATAAGAAACTTTCTGTTGAGATAATGTTCTGTAGATTTCTTGCATTTCTTTCTTTCTTTCTTTCTTTGAGACGAAGTCTTGCTCTGTCACCAGGCTGGAATGCAGTGACACGATGTCAGGTCACTGCAACCTCCACCTCCTGGGTTCAAGTGATTCTCCTGCTTTAGCATCCTGAGTACCTGGGACCACAGGCACATGCCACTACACTCAGCTAATTTTTGTATTTTTAGTAGAGATGGGGTTTCATCATGTTGGCCAGGATGGTCTCAATCTTTTGACCTCATGCCTGTAATCCCAGCACTTTGGGAGATCGAATCGGGATCACTGCCTGCCTTGGCCTCCCAAAGTGCTGGGATTACAGGCATGAGCCACCAGGTATTTCTGTATATCTTGCAAGTAGAGGCACTGACTGTCTTTGTTCTAAATTATTTTTTTCAAAGATGTTGGTATAGCAAGCAGCACAGAGAAGCAAAAGTCTGAGATGCTTACTAGCCAGTATAATAGATAAAGGTTCCTGCTGGAGCAAAGTACACACATGCTTATTGCCCACTATAAAAGATTCAGGCTTTCTAAATTCAGGGTTTCTTTCTGGTACACAGCTCGTTGAATGTGCAGACAGCTATCTAGCCTGTACACATTACTTTAATTGGGAGCAGAGAAACTGACACAAAAATGCTGATGCTAATGTTGCTTGCAGTGGTGTATATAAATATAGCTCTTTGTTTCTGACCCAGGAGTCTCATATCTTCTGCCACAATCTATGAGATTGTAGCAAACTAACTTGTTAGCTTGCAAGTAGGGTAAGATCTCAGCTCCTTCACAGTTCAACATTTTCTAGGCAAAGAGATTTATGAGCCCAGGAAATACTCTTATAATTGGTTAGGCATAAATAAAATTGGAAATGTTGTAAAGCAATGGATATAACTAAATATTTACTTAGATTTCTACAGTTTTAATTAGAACAGCTTAAGTGTGGCATTAATATTCTAGGGCCCAACTGATTAGATTTGGGAAATACTATTTCACTTAGTTGCTCTCATCAATTTCAATCTGTATAGCATTAAATGTATGATTATTGTTATACTCTAAATGTTTTTGCAAATTAACAGTCTGGTGAAAGTTTTTTTTTTTTGACACTTATGCAAGATAAACTGGCAAGCAGATACTATGTAGTAATTTGTATAGTCAATGTGACCAAAATAGAAGGATTGACCATGCTTTAGTTCCCAAGTTTTTTTGTGTAGGACTTGATGAAATTTCTTGAGGAGGATTGTTTTTCCTACTTGAATTTGGATACTCTCCAGGTCTGATTATCAGCATATTATCAAGGCCCAATGCACAATTTGTTCTTGGTAGTTAAGCAGATTAAATAATTAAAGTGGATATTTTCTGTTCTAGAGTTACTTCTAAGCCAGAAACATAAATAAGGCCTAAATAGAAGAGAACAAGGGAATTTGTCAGATATATAGGTTTTGTTAAGGACCAGCACAAATAATATCCAATATTTATGTAAATCAACTAAAGACGAAATTGTAGACTGTAGTAGCAGGTTGTTGACAAGTTAATAAATTTTCTTTCAACTCTATTATTGTCTAATCATTTTCCTGTATAGGCTTTGAAGCTAACACACAAATATGTTTGTACTACACATGTCTCTTCTTAGACATTAGCTCAAATTAGTTCTAAGCTATGATATACTTTTGTTTAATTTTTAAGCTTGTTTTTTAATTATTTTTTTTTTGTATAGTAGAATTTTAGGCTGTTAGGAGGTCATATAGATGTTATATAGAAGAGGAGTGGCCAAGGAGAGTGCAAAGAGGGAGGCTAAAGAGAGAAAGTTCAAAAAAAGCTGCACGGCAGTTTAATATGAAAGAATTTCTGTAAATTGATTAGACAGTGGCTCACATTCAGGAAGTAAGATACATGAAACTCATCTTCAAAGATCAACAAAGACTTTGCTTTGAGAGGAAATAGTAGAGCCTGACCCAGTAATATATGATCGTTTCAGAAATTCACATTGCTAACTTGTTTTTTTTTTTTTTTTTTATGAATAAAGGGAATGCAGAACACTGCAGTTGTGGCTGGCAGAGTCTGTCCTTTTGGGAAAAGACCCCCTAGTATGTATGTAAAGTCAGCCTGTCTACTTTCTCTCTCTCTGGCCTACTTTACTTGCTGGCCATCTGTGGCCTAGTACATTTTTTAAGATGACTCTCATTCTATATGCTCTTCTGCAGTGTGACCTTTCCACCTACCCCTCAGCAAGAGGTGGAGTCAATTTCTTCACCCCTTGAATCTGGAGGGGCCTGTAACTGCTTTTGACCAATAAAATATGGCAGAGCCTTTAATTGAATAGGCACTTGCCATTTCCTGGCCTCTAGGAAGTCAGCTGCAATAAAAGAACACAACTCTGCTCAGACTGCCATACAGTGAAAACCCAAGCCATGTGGAGAAGCCTTGAAGAATGAAATTCCACATGGGAAGGGAAAGAGAGAGTAACAAGCACCAAGAAACCAGGTATGTGAGTAAGGATGTCATTGGAGGAGTAGATCCTCCAGCCCGAGCTGCCCTAGCTGATGCCACACGGATCAGAATGAATCAGCCAGCTGAGACCTTCCTTAATCCCTGACACACAAATTTGTGAGCAAAATAAAATTATTTTAAGACAGTAAGTTTATGAGGTATTTTGTAAAGCAATTTACCATTGATAAAAAGTCAACAAATAACCTGGGGCCTACATATTTAAGTTCATT